GTAACATTAAAAAAAATCATATAACAAAAGAGAATAGAGCTTACAGCCAAACTTACAATGAAATTACTATTAATTTCCAAGTCAGATATGTACACCAAATGTCACCACATCACAGAGAACTAAACATTCCCTAGAGTATTTGAGCTGTGATTGTTTCTCATGGTAATGTTCTTGCCATTTCACGAATGCAATATTACAAGTTTGTCAGAGCAAGACTGATTTAACTGTCCTATCCTCAAAAGTCTTACCCCAATACAATGCTCTTAATTAATTAATTAATACAACTCTTCCCATCCTCAGAAGGTTGATGGAACTAACTCAAATGATCCCACGTGCAGGTGGGAACCATGAGGCAGAAGAAAAAGCGATATGTAGGTCAGTGTGGTGAACCAAGCTCTGTGATGGGGCAAGACCAACATAGGTCCACAGACCAGTCCAGCATTAGGGCAGCAATAACAAGGATTCTGGCAGGGAAAAAGAGGGAAGAAACAGGAAGCGCAAATACACATATACATGCCCTAAGCCCCTGTATTCCTCTTTCACCGCTGGAAACAATGACAGGCCTAGCTAGACTGGGGATGTGCAATAAGTCTGTCCTTCCCTAAAAAGCAAGCAGAGGCTGCTATGGCAATAGCAATTTATCCTGATTTATTGAGAGGAGGGGCTTAACAATAAAAGATATCTCTCTTGCACTTTGATACCTACTCCCTGAAGACCTGCCATTGCATATGGAACATTACTGAATAATTGGATTAAAAACACTACTCGCAAAACAGAGCTGTGATTTTAGAAGGTCCAGATTAATGGAGAGGAAAAGCACAGCTGAGAATCTAGACTTCTGTAAAATAGATTATTTCAACCTTTCCAGAACAGGTAAGAGAAAGATTTATTAAGTATTCATTGCACCTGTATTCTCCAAAGCAATATAATTTTCCCTATTTAGCTATTAGACACTGATTAATACATACACATACTTATAAATTTCATATTTTTTAAAGTACTTTTCATAAATATTGTCTTTGGTAGGCAAATTCTTACACCTTAACTATCCTTCTACTGTAGCTTACGTTTGCCATATAGGCTTCATTAACTCTCAAGTAAGTACATGAACATAATTTTTTAATGAAAGAAATAGTAGCTTAATCACAAAAGAGATTGAGTCATTAAGAAGAAAGGAATTGGATATTAGCATAATCTACTTACCTAATTGCATACAGATACTGCTGTATATTACCTATTGTTCCCATTGTAGTAGTACGTATAATATGCTAAATGCAGTTGAACTAAAATATGTAAAATAGTCCACTTAGTACTCACACTGCATTATATCCTTTCATATCAATTCAGTTGAATGTAAAAAGGGAATGCATGAGATGACTACCTAACAGGTAAGACATTAAAGTAAAAATTGCAAATAATGCTTGACATATTTATAACAAAACATAGCACTCCCTGTAAAATGCTTTATTAATTTTATAAGATGAGCTAAAAGGTTACACTTTGAGAGCAGATGTAACAGAAATATATTGGTGTCTGAATAGTCAGAAATGTGGAAAACATATCTGGTAACTGGAATACATTTGAAGTAGATTCAAATATAGTTGCAAACAGACAAACGAAACTCTCAGAGTAATCCAAAGAAATAAAACAGTTCATGTAAAATCAGGGCTTCTACTATAAAGAATAGCAAGCAAAAAAGAGCAAGTGGTGAAGAGATAGTAGATAAGGAATAAAATTACGTAAAATAAGATGTTAACTCAGCTAAATCTCTTAATCTTTCTTTTACTTCAGAACAAATTAATCACTTATTATGACCTTGTTAAAATGTCAAAAAAAAAAACCCACAGGTATGACAGGGAAGAATATGGTTCCTAAGATATATTTACACATACAAAATTAGATATTTTTAAAATAGACAAACACATGGAACTTTGCAAATGCAAGTTAAATGCCATATGAACTACTACGAGTGATAAATTGTGAGCTACCATTAGCTATGTACATAAAACATTATTTTCAGTGATACAACATTTCTTAGCTCCAAAAGAAGTCTTCTCAAAAAGTGATTTTTTTACTGAAGCAAGGTCTTCTATCTACTCCAAGACATGGGAGGCCACAGCACAGGTACAAGGGGAACACAGAGAAGTAGAGACTTCAGGTTTTAGGGCACTGCAACAAACCAGGCAGTAAATCAGCTCATCAGCTGAAACCCGCTTGACTTCCTAGAACAGTGTGCAGGCACTGTCAGGGACAATGACAGAGGAGCTTGCAGATGTTCACTGTCATAGAGTCACAGATCTAAGCCATATTTCTTTCAGCTCCAGGAGAAGAGACAACACCATAGGCAGATATCAATACTGAGTCAATCAAACAGAACACTTTTTAAAAAATTAAAAGTTTTATAGCATCTCTAGACCCACAGCCCATAAGCTGATTGTATTCATTAGACTGCTTCTTACAGGAGAATCATAAAATTCTTACCCATTAATTCAGCACGCCTTCTTGTCTTAATTACGAGTGATGGAGACCATAAACTTCAACCCTTTCCTGGGCACATGTGTAATATTCTAATATCTAGTCCATCAAACCAGAGGTATTCCTTTAATTTTGGATGCTCCATCATGTGATTGCTCTTTCCATTTAATGTTCATGGCCATCTCCATCAATGTCTGAAACTGTCGAGCTGAAAAATTAATCTCAACATATTGGAAGTCTTTTTTAGCCTTGAAAGCCCAATCCTGCTCTCATCAAAGTCTGGCAAGTCTGTTCTGAGTCAGCACTAACACCATATGCAACTCGTCATCTGTCACAGTATAATGTCATGGTGCTTTGGCTCATTGTGTCACTGCTACGATGTGTGTATGTGTGTTGGTTGGCTTCGTCTGAGAATGCACGGACTTAGCAGCAAACACAATAATGTTCAGAACAAGAAAGTCTTCTTAAACTACAGATGCAAAATTCTGGACTTGAACCGTGAAGAAGATCTAGTCACATCTTGTAGCTCAAGTTATTCTGTTGGTTCTAAGATGGTAGTCAGAAAACTTATCGTTGTCTGATATAAAAAACCATGTCACTTCTGAAAATCATTACAGCACATACACAGATCCACTGGACATCGGGGTAGCTCCCATGGCATCAGGAGACAGCAGGGCATAGACTGTCTACTCACATGCAATGACACTGGGTCCTGGTTGTATAAGAGTCTTCAAATTCTTCTGATGGAAGACCAGGAGTTCTTGTTATAGCACCAAGCTGGTGGTCAAACCCCTTTTGTTCTTCTCTTGTTTATTATGTTACCTCAGGAGAGGTTCTTTTTATCTCTGCACCCGTTCCCCTGTATCCACCTTTTAAGTCACTCACATCAATTGCAAAGCACACTGTTTCAAGAATCTAGTCTTGGCTATGGCCTCTAAGCTCTACTATAATACAAAGAATTAATAGGAGACAATAAGAATATTTTAGAAAATCCAGATATGAATCCCAAGGTAGACACATGGGAAATGCCTACACAAACACAGACATATTTTCCGATGACTGTCCAAGCTCCAAATGCACCTCACTCAGCCGTGCAGTTCCAGCCCTTCCAGTGACACAACTAACCCAGAGTGCGATCCAGTGAACTGAAGGTGATGAAGGGGGTACGGGATTTATTAGTTCAGGTCTGTAATTGCCCCAACACAGTTACAAACCTACAAATGCAGGCTTCATCCACCCAGTTTACAGCAAAGTGGAGCAGGTGGCACAGCTGTCTGTCTCCCTCGATTTAGACCTACCTCTAGTCCTTTTCGAGGAGCTTGATGAGATCAGAAATCTGGCATTACAATTCCCTCATGCAGCTATGGCCATGCTGTCTGTAGCCTCTTCAGGGCTATTTATACTGCCAGTACAACTTGGAATCAAGTGCTTAGTGCCTTCATTCGAAATTATTGAAAAGGAAGGCAGAGAGGTAGGAAATACAATTTAATTCAAAGCACATGTGACCTCTAGCCAAGAGGATTTTAGGAAAAGATAACTTTCTGATACATATTCAAACCTCTTTTAATTGAATAAATTATAAGAAAATGTTATCTGTATTGTGCCTATTAGGGTGGCTAGATTTTAAAGAATTTATGGGGATATCTTATAAACTTCAGCTGAAGAAAAGAATTACACAAAGTTTGTGTAATTTTTTATGTTCACAAAGGCTATGGAGAAGAGTAGATTTTTCCCTAGGTTAAAGTACAGTGCTTCGGTACTTAACAAAATACATTTAGAGAGCTAACATTCTCCACCTGTGAAATAGACTGGGAGTAGAACAGATGGCTTTCCATCCACATTCACTTTCTGGAAAGCAATTTGATTGCTTTTATTGCTGTTCTTATAGAGAAACAACTTTCCTTCCTAATTTCGTTGAGTACAGTCTGAACTAGCTTTTTGTCAGTTCACTGCCTGGGTTAACTATAAATTTGCAAAGCACAATAAAGCAGTCTCTATTTAGCAGGACTTCACTGCAGCTCATGTTTGCTATATTTTGACCCATGAACATACCTTTGAAAAGTCATATTGTATTAAGGTTGACATGAAAGCAAAACCTTACATTCAAAAAAAACACTACTATCAACTTAATTAAGCTGTTCATAAATTTTCAAGGAATTAATAACATTTTGAAAAAGTCCTTTCTTCCATTCAAAGTGTGGTTTGTACTGAGTAAAATTTTATGCTGTCATCCTATCAAGCACTGTAGTAGACTCTGATCTATAAATGGCTATTTGGATGACCCTCATACAAAGCTCCTACTTAGACATATCTTACAGTTTGGCATCTGCTGCAACTTTTGGAGAGAGGTTCTAGAAACATAATAAACTGCAATTGGTGACAGCTCATTCTGGCAGAATATTCCAGCCTTTATTTTGTTTTTCTTTAGGAGTACAAAATCATTGGGATTAAACATAAGACTTTAAAAGCATAAAAACCTTGCTTTGAAAAAATACACTGCAGACCTATATTCCAGATATTCCAAAATGGGCATTGATACAAACTGGGCCATAAAGAGTAAGACAAAATGAATTCTCTCTGACCCTACCACAAGCCCAATGTTTTTGGCCTGGGACATTAATTTACAGAGGAATGGGTTGTTTTTTTTAAAAAAGGCAGTTTCTTCAGAGCTTTAGATGGAAAGGTTGCTGTGGACTTCAGCCCAAGCAGGATTTCATCCTGATTTGTTTTGATGTTGTCTTCTGGATATCAGTGACAGCCCACTGCACAGCTGCCCCCATGACATGTGCCTCTAGGCCCAGTATGGATACCCAAGGCAGTCAAAGCAGGGACAGAACAAGCAGTTACTATCCTCCTGTCCTCTCTTCTGCTTCTTTCAAAGCTAGACACACATACATCAGTGACCAAGGGAACGCTGCTGTTACTGAGGGTGCATGCTTTTTTTGTCTGATCTATCATACACTACACTAAATATTAGAGAGGAAAGAATATGAGGATTTGAATAAAAGTTCATTAAGATCTGCCTGTGCTGGTGTTGCTGTAGAGCAAGCTTTACATGTTATCTGCTTGGCATTTACCTTTTTTTTCAGAGAGCTTGTACATCATACCATATTCTGAGTTCTTTGCCAGTTCAAATATACTGGATTTAACTGAAAAGTTTTGAATTTTAAACTAAATACATTTAATTCAATTCAATTTTTATTGTAAAAACTGTTGGTCTCTTTTTTCCCTTTAGGCACACTCCATGAAAAGATGATGAATGGTACATGCACTACTTTCATTTGCAACAGAAATCCTAAACTGGAGTGGTACTGTTATTTGTTGCTTCTGGTTTGTCTTTTCACTTTACTAGCAGGATTTCTTGGCAATATACTCGCACTACGACATTATGCGTACTGCATGAAGACATGGACTACCAGTACTATATTTCTGTTTAATTTAGCACTGTGTGACTTGACTTGGACTCTCATGGCACCTTTTTCAGTATATTACAGTCTCCAGAAGTCAGCTGTCTATTCCAGTCAAGCATTTTATCAGATCATAAGACTATTTTTTAGTATTAATATCTATGGAAGTGTCTATTTCCTGACATTCATCAGTTTTGACAGGTATGTAGGTGCTGTCCATCCTATCACTTCATTAACATGGTGGGACAAACGAAAGGCTGTGTTTTGTACCATCGCCGTATGGATCTTCATAGTGATTGCATCAATGCCCGAGATCTACTACACAGTTGCAGCTGGAAGACAACACAACATCCCATATGCCCTGGATGGCACTGAAGAACCTCTACAATTTGCAGTGCCATTCACACTCTCCAAGATTGTATTGAGATTCCTAATTCCAGTCACAGTCATCTTTACGTGCTATATGTTGACTCTAAAAGCACTACTACAACTCAGTAAACGTCAGCAAAGAAGGAACAGACTTGTTAGACCCCTGTTACTGATTTCAGCCGCTATGATTGTATTTGCTGTTTCTTTCATACCTTATCATGTTATGATGATGGTGATACTAATTTACAGAAGTAATTGTCAATCACCCTGTGGGAACATAAGCACATTAAGTGCCATTTATAAAGTCACTGAGATCATCTGCAGCATCAATAGTTGCCTTGACCCAATCATTTTTACGGTAGCAAATAAGACATTCTGTCAAAGAATTAAAACTATAAAATGCCATCCCAAATGCCAGTGCTGCTGCTGTCTGACAGAAAAGGTAAGGGACATCACTCTGTCCTCAAGAAGAATGACTTAAACACCAATCTACCAAGACAAGCATCTCTCCCTGCCCATTTGGCTTTGTGCCATCAGGTCTGTTTAAAATTTGGTCTCCTGTATTATATAGCAATCTCTTGAGTTAGCAAGAATAGACAGCAATGCACAGTAAAACTTAATACATACATCTACCAGAAAAGAAATACTAGCAACTCCTAGCTTTACAGAATTGTCATTTTAAATATTCTTGTCATAAATACACCTTAATTTACTGTGAAACAACGCTTCTTACCTGTATGTAGATGCAACATGGAATGAACAAGGAAGAAAAGTTCTAAGCAGCTACTTCAGTTCTTGGCCAAAAAAAATACATTAAAAAATACATTACAGGGTTGAGGAGCCTTCTTATAGTTAATTATTTTTTCATCTGTTTGTAAGTGCTGCTGTGATTGGACTGTGCAATTAATAACAACCATGATGCTTACAGCTGACCTTCTCCAGCATTTGAGGAGAGGCTTTCTCCAAGTACTTCATTTTAATGCTGCTTGCACTAGAGCTACACTGGCACTGCTAGTGGAACCTCATTAACCTGGGTAAGTGCAGCACATTTCCGAAAACAAACAAACAAACAAAAATAGTAAAATAAAATCCCTGAGGATAGTCAGAGCCACAGTGAACCTGCTCATGAAGCAAACAAGCACAAATTGAAGAGCTTTGTTCAGTCTTCCCCCAAGCAGCAAGAGTTCCAAACCAATAGTCAGGGCACACTAGTGGCATCCCTCAAACCCTGGGCAATTACAGCTGCTTCTCATAAGTGTTCTGCTTCAGGGGAGCATGTGGTTCTGCAATGAACTCTGAACTCATCAACAGGGAGAAGGGTGCACAGAAGTTCTGAAATACACAGGTGTCTGAGCTGCAGAGTAAGAGACGTTACTGCACAGGAGTGCTTCTTCTCCTGTTCCTTTAGGGTCTTAGCATCCCAGTTTCAGGACAGGCTAAGGCAGTTATTCTACAGTGCATTTTAATCATTAAAACAGCACAATATAGAGTCATCAGAACATCCACCTTCAAGAGTCATTAAATATGTGTTCTTTGAACAGATTGTATGGGCAAAATAATCATGTTCCATAATCAGCCACCTGCTGACCTGCTTTCTTGCCAAGTCCCACACACTGCCTTGGTAATTATAAAACACCATGTATCAGTGAGCATGTTTAACTTTATTTTCAGAAGTTATTAGTGACAAAGTACTTTTTAATATACTTTGTACAGTGTCTTAATCTTTAATTTCCATAGTTTTAATGTAATTTTGTCCTCACATGTCTCTATGTGAAAATAATTTTATTCTACATGGGTGTTAAATCTCTCTTGTATATCTCAATTGTATTAAGTAAATATATATGTATATATAATAACTATAACAATGGGGTTTTTATTGTCTATAATGGTGACGTGAAATGAAGAACCAGGTCCTGGTAATCTGAAACACTTTAAATGCATTTGGATGTACTGGCAAACGCACAGGATCTCGTAGTAAAATTGCGTGCCTATATTCCGTGCAGGGTAGTTACATCCTCATCTCACTGAAGTTCTGCTTTTTTCCTTTGATAATTTCTCAATCTTTCAATTTCTCTTATTTGAAAAGAAAAACAGTCACCTTTTTTTTTTTTTTCCATGCATTAATTGTCTATTGGAAACACCACAGGGTTGTTAACAATGCATTGGCTTCCTTAAGAGAGCTTTTTAATCCACCAACGGGCACCCATCAGCAATTACCTCTTATAATATACGCTTACATCTCAGACTGATACAGAAACAATGTCAATGCCATTTAGTGACAAAGGTGCTCTCAGCACGAAAAAGGACAGAACAGGAGAAATTAGTGTGAAGCTCTGGGCTACAAGAGTTTATTGCTCCCAATGGATTGCACCTAGGATTGTAGGCAGTAAGCTATTTCCAAAATCAAACACTTGCCATGTTTATCATTCAATCTATCTTTCAAGGTACAGATACACTGTTTCTTTCTCCTTTCTCCACCTCAGTATTGCAATTCAGCAGGTTAATTTGTCTGTGTTCAGACTAGGTAAAATTCAATATGAAATCAAAATATGCTTTTCTAGACACAAAATTAAACATGAAAACTCATTGCAGTCCTGGGCTAGAAAAGATAACTTCACACCTCTGGGAAGCAAAAATTCTCAGGTTTTACCTGCTAGGACTTCTAGTGTGTGAGCTTTTTCAGGAGAGACAACAATGACTTAGTTCAGCAGTTTCTCTAAATTTTCTAGAGACTTTTAATAGCAAAACAGATCATTATATTTTATATATCTACTATATAGATGTTAATTTTGCTATTACATATTAAGCACGTATCGTTAGAAAGATCTTTTGTTGTTAATGAAGAAAGAAGCATTAAACACAGAAGAAATTGTGAAAAACATTAGCAAAGTTACTTCTTGATTTTGGAAAAAAAGTGGATTGTTTCCTCCTGAAGTGTTGCATTTGTAACACCTATGAATGCAGACTGTGCTCACAAATACCCAAAGTTGTCAAGAATAAAATTAAAAATTACAATTAAATATTGGATTGAAAGCCTCTAGTGAGCTCAAGATGAGTACAATAATCAAAAAGCTTCATAGATAACCCTTCCACAACTCACATGCAATGCATTTTGCAAGCAGCATTAATGTAGGTTGCAGAGATTCTCAAGCAAAGTCTAGAGTTTCTCTGCCTGTGTTTCACTGTGTAGAAAGAAAAACTAAGGCAACAGTAAAGAAATGCTTTAAAGTCAGTGTGAGAGTCTGACTCATAAAAAAAAAAAGGCAGGGAGAAATTTCATTCTGGTCAGGTAATCAGAACATAAAACGTATTTAACTGAACAAGAATGACCTTTATATTCTCAGTGTGACTGAACTATGCGGTATACTCACACAGAAAGATGCAAGATGAGATGCTTTTTACTTTCTGTCAGCATCACCCTATCAAAGAGCTGCATGGTCCAGGGGACAGATGATGGAACAATGCCAGGAACTGCCACCATGGGCCTGGGAGAGTATCAACGAGCACTGTGCCAGCGACCAGGGAAGGACCGGGGAGCAAACAGGCAGGGACCTGCCTTTCCATGGGAGAATCCAGACCTCAGCCAACTCAGAAGATAAAAATTGCCATGAAATCTTGCTCCTCATGATACTCAGATGTGAATACACCCTAGTAGCTGACAAGGCTTCTAGACATTTCTTTGCCTGTTCATAAGTGGTTCTATAATTAATCAATTAAATACACTTTTTAAAAGTGTTTTTGTTCAGACAGGCTGAACTAATGCTAATGTTGTCCTGACTGAAATCAAAGGTTTTCTACAAAATAAGAGTTAAAAGGCACAAGACATCTGTTCATATTTACTTGGTGATATTTTTATTTGGAAATACATTCTCCTAAAATGTTTTATTATTATATTCCCCAGATAGATCGACATAAACAAATAAAATTAAATAAGTTTATTCCATTTTGCTACAACAAGCTAACAATAAACTAAACACCTAAGAGCCAAAGTCAACATCTTCTACTACGACAAGTATGTTGCAATACTGGTTTCTCACAGATGTTTGTTTGGATTAAACCTGAGGACATGGTATCCAATTAAATGCCCAGCTGTTGTAATGACTTTGAGCACATTATTGAACATTGCAACAATGTATTAATCTACAAAACTGACTGCAAGGTATGGATAGCTTTCAAGTACCGTATCTAGATCCTAAGATATTAGAGTGGTGGACATCTTTGTAATATGCTAGATGAATACAAAATAGACCACAGCCTGAAAGATTTAACCATTTATGTATGTGTTCAGCTGTGCTCAGAGAAACAACTTTCTCGTCTACTACTGTAAATTCAGCATTGTTTTGTAAGCAAAAATCTTTAGAACAAAACCCTCTAAGTTGAAGAGGTACATTTTGCTACAAATGTCCCAAAGCTGCTCTCTAACTAAAGCCATCTTTATGCACCTGCTGTTTTCCATTTGCCTTTGTAATACTTTTATCTCACAAACTACCTGAAATTTTCATACTTAGTAAGACATGACCTTACCCTTTTTAAATACAAATGTTCAAATGTTACTGAAAGTTTGGTTTTCTCTTCAATATACATGAATGAATGTATTCTGACATCAAAGTTTTTCTTTTCCATGCCTCAGAAACACCTCACTTGGCAAAAAGCTATTACAAACAGTACCACAAAGCAGTTAAAATACTTCACCTTTGTACACTGCTTTCATCAGTGGAAGTCAAAGCTCTTTAGGCAGAAGAAAAAATATGCCTAGCCTGATTATACAACAGATGTAGAGGCAGGTAATATGGCCAAGTCCACCATCCGTCTTGCAGGCAAACATAGCTTCTCCTTTCCTGCCTTAGAGAAACAGCCAAGTGTCAGGGCTGCCAAGTCTCCCCACGCTGTGCCTGGAGCCTGCAGTCAGAGGCGATGGGACATGCTGGCCCCTGTGCAGGGACCTACCACCTCTATAGCCCACTCAGACACTCTTTTCAGGCCTTCTCCCAACTTACAACTTACCAGCTCGGTCTCTTCTTCTTCACATGACCCAGCATGGATGGGGCTTCCTCCGACTGGGAAAGGTGAACCTTAATCAGGGAGAACTGCAGTTCTCAGCTTTTGCAGTCTAAGGTAAAATGCAGCCTAATGTCACAAAATGTAATAGTCAAGGTGTCAGCTACTGACCTAGCTAGAAAAGTGATGTCCTCGCAAAGTACACCATGTGCTAGGGCAACAGGAACCTAGGATCTCCAGTTTCCCACCAGGCCAGCCAACACCGGTCAGAAGACCAACACTAGTAGCCAGACATCTTTCCATCAGGCTTCTTGTGTAGCCTGTCTTACCTGATCTGGGTGTTCTCAAGGGCCTGGGCTGAACTAGAAACTGCAGGTGAGCAAATGCAGGTGAAATGTATAGCACTGTGCCTTCCTCTAAAATGTTGTAATAGTCTTCACAGATTGCTTGCGAGTTCTCAAAGAAAAACGAATAGCAATGCAAATGTTCATAAGAATGCACATTAATCTTTTAATACAAAAACAAGAATAGCAACACGGACTTTTGCTGCTGTAAGGGAAGGGATGACATTTTCTTTTCTTAATGGATTATCCAAAGACAACTGAGAGCAGGATGATAATGGTCGGTGCTATCTCCTGTATCGAACCTTGCAGGGAATTCATAAAGGCACCACATCTCCCTTCTTGCTTTACATTAATGTAATTACTATTACCTAGATACAATACCTTGAGCTGCTGTTGTGAAAAAGCTGTAAAATGCAGATAATGTGGGAAGACTTAAAGCTACGCCAGAATTACAGTGTGTAGGCAGGCTTAATTCTGAATTTTTCTGCATCTGTCAATTTCCATTATACAGACTTAACATATAATTTTAATTATAGACTTTACTCTTCTGATGTTATTACTTCAGGTTTAGACAACTGTGCTGATGCAGTTAAAAGGAAACCTGTAAAAACAGATATTGATTTCCTATAATGCTTTAGAACATTTTTTAGTAGGGAAGCAACAGAAAACCCTGCATTAGCAATAGAAAATGCTAACGTATTTGTTCTTGAGGTGCAGATTTTTAAATTCTGTGTGGCTGTATCCCAGGTTGTAAAATGAATGTGAAATAATTTTTCTCTCTTTAGATGTCCTCACTTCATAACAAAAGAAAAGTTGGTTAGAAGGCACATACAAATTATATTTTTGCACTCTTTATCCTTTAAGAATCTTTAGCATTTTTAAGAAACCTGTTTTTTTTTTTAACTGCCAGACCTATAAAAGCAACTTCATGATCTTCCTCCGTTTTTTTAATTTTAGAGCTACAATGTTTCAGCATCTTATACATAATGCCTACAGAAACTACATTTTCTTTCTTTGAATTCATTGGAATCCAAATTACACAGTAGGTAAAAGAAACACAGCAGTATTTATATCCCATATAATGCTGATGTTGAACTCTGAAGGGCAGTGCTGTAATCTCTGTTTTTCAATACCTGTTTAGCGATAGTCTGCAACAACTTGTCAAAATATTTTTTTCTATACTATTTGTTCTTTTCGGCTGAAACTGCACTGAAAATGATCCACAAGCTTATTGTTCACAATAAACAGAGTTGCTTACAAACTATCTACCACACAGCCTTTTAAAATAAATATTTATAAAGTATTTTTGAGCCAGAAAACAAAGCAGATTTTGTCATCATCCCTCTAGGAGCACCTACAGGTTCACTAATGGTCATTCCATGGCACAGTAAATTGCAAACCTGATTGTCATATAAACATATAAAAATATAAACATAGTTGCATATGTTTATATGTAAATAGCTTACTATGTTTAAATAATAGCAAATATGCATAACAGACCTTTAGCTTGTTTTGAATGAGGAATGCCCCCTTCTATCAAACACATGAAGTGGAGGTTGACAGCGGACAGCCACCCACAACTAACCCCAGTGCTGAACTGGAACTCAAAAGAGATTTAGATTTGACCACGAGCTTTGCCAGAGATTTTCTATAGGACTAGGGCAAGCAATGCTGTCTCTGGGACTCAGTGCAGGGAGTATCAGGGTCACTACTAAGCGCACACGCTGAGCCATCCAAGACTGGCAGAGAGCAAGAGACAGAAGAGATTTACATTTCCTTGAGGCAAAAAAGTAGTCACTTGGTCAGTCAAATACAGGAGATAGCAGGTGTTCTAACAAAAATAATTAGTGTCTCAAAGTAAGTGAAACAATGCTCATTGTAATTAAAAAAAAAAAAAAAAATGAGCTAGACTCTCTCCTGGTCAAGAACAGAGTACACTATTTGTCTAGGCCCCCTCAGTGGATGAGTGCTCCCATGGAGGACACTGCAAATCTAACACTGCCAAGTCCACCAAGCCCATTCCCCGAGACACTTGTCTGAGCACCAAAAAGGGATACAACCAGTTAATCAAGTCCTATATCAGAATTAGTATGTGCTGCAAACTTCATAGATCAACACAGGAAAGCTGATTATTATTCTACGAGACTCAAAACAGTCTTAAGGTTAGGCAGTCGTACATCTAACAGGTGGCTGTGTGGCACTTGCACTATTTTGCAGAATATTGTGCCCACTGTTGTAGAAGCAGTTGACAAAACCCCAATGCCATTAACTTCGCCCCAGGTCCCCAGTTGTGTTATGACCCCTTTGCCTACCTACCATGGGATGGAGGATGCAAAAATATTAGCTATTTCAACAAATCTGTTTCATAATGGCACAACCAAAACAAGTGATATGGAATGAGCTTTCACTGGTTGAAAAGTTTACAAGACCTATTTCAACTTTTGGCTGAAGTTTCCAGACACTGAAGAATTTATTCAGGAAAAAAAAGTTCAGGTTCCTTGCCTTGATAACACAGGATTATGTTTGCAGAATTAAAATGCAGAACTATAGTTACGTCTTCTTTCAACCACCTGATAATCAGATTTTTTGTATTTGACATTTTTTCACACAGTTGCAAAATTCAGAGGAACCCCATGAATATCTAAGTATGAATACCTGTTTCACACAGATAGCTTCCACTCCTGCACAAATCTCCTGCAGTGACATAATATTAAGCATTGCTCATTAATCATGATTTGCCTTTCTAGAATTAGCACATCACTCATTTGTATTATGTACACTATGTAATGGTGTCCAAAAAAGGATTATTTACTACATATGAATTGAAAGAGTAGAAATCCACAGTACCAGCTAAACCACTATATCCACTGTATTTAGTAGAAACTTTGGAAAAATTTAGTTTTAAATCCTTTGATACTATGTTATTTGCAAAAGTAACCATGGCAAATACTATATTTAGAAATATATCTTTAATAGAAAGTGATCCAGTGATGAAGAAACTTAACAATCAGCGAAACTTTGAACAAAATAACAATTCCATAGTAAATCTCCTAAATGAATCCAAACCTTCATTACTAAAAAAAGTAGAAGGGTGGGTGGGTTCCACAGTAGAACACATAAAAATACTATTTCACAGTAAGTGCATAAAAAGCTAGTAAGCTAGTAGATTGGTGCAGCATACTGTAATTGAAAAATGTTTTAATTTTTCCAAATACAGGCTTTCTTTACTCAGGTTTGGTTTTTCCTTTGTTTTTAAATGAATTATCAATTTAACAGCGTACAGACATTCATCACTGTTCTTCATCTAGCACATTTACGTCTCATTTAGAGACTAACTCACTAAGTAGCTGCCATATTCACTCAACACCACTAGAAGGTGCTCCTCTGTTGAAAGATAATTATTTCTGTCTGGATTGCTTCTCAAAGCTAGTTTTCCTCTGATAACTGTGGTTCTGGCCAGTTTTTTTACATAGACTGTAACTGCAACAACTGCCTCTGTTATACAACAGCAGGGCCTCAGATGCCGTAACCTTTATCACAGCATGAGAATAACAGATCTGTTACCAATCATTTTCTTGATAAATCTGAATTCCAGCCGAGCAGGACTCTAGACAGTTTTGTTGGAAGGTGAGGGGGGAGCTGACGCATTGTAAACAGCCACGGTTTTGGTAAGTTTAGGAATCATAGAATCATAGAATCATTTAGGTTGGAAAAGACTTTCAAGATCATCGAGTCCAACTGCAAATCTAACACTGCCACATCCACCAAACCCATTCCTCAAGTAACTTAGGGCAGAATGCATCCCTAGAGAGACATTTGCACACTTGTCTGAAGTCTAAAGGTGAGTTCAACATTTAAAAAAGCTATAAGACAACCATACAAATGTAAGCATATGATCTATACTAATTCCACACCAACAGTATCAGGATATCAAACTGCATCTGGAAATCCAAGGATCAATAATCCATATTTTATACACAACCTTATATGATCCTCAACCAAGTTAAGATTTAGTTTGATACCCAGAAAGGCATTCTGACTGCCTCTGGGTACACATCGACTGCCTCTGTAAGCTCTTTGCATATGCAACAAAAACCTTAACTGAGAGCTGAAATAATTGCAGTTTTTCTAATAAAAAACTTCACTCTGCACAATGTCTGAAGAGTTTTAAGTTCTGTGTTATCTCAGATTGGGTATGATTTGGTAAGAAATGGGAAGGAAAGGGGGAAATGAGGATGGACTGACCGAAAGAGGGTAAAGGAAGAAAGTCACCACACAGTTCAAACAGTTTAAACTACTGAAAACTAAGATCAGCCCCCAAAGAAAGGCTTCCTGCTGGTAAGGAGACATGCACGTGGCCTTTCCCAAATTCCAGTAGCACAGGGGATGGCAGCACAGTATAATCCTCCACTGGAGCACTTTGCAGAGGCTGTTGCAAGAGGCAAACTAACTAAGCTTCAAGGCTACCCAAAGAGTGTGATTCACCAGACAGGTCTGAATGATCAAAATTGAAATAATCAAAGGAGAAAGGTGCTGGCGAACAGTTTGGCATTAAAGAAATGCTTTTCTACCCCCCCTATATGTTAATATGGCAAAAGGCTGTTCCCTGGGAAGTCTGATGCTACTAGAGAAAGGCATTCCACCTCTAAAGGGGCATCTGTCCAAGTTTTAGACGGATGATAATTTATATAGTTCAGAATCTAAGATAAAGAGAAAGAATAAAGGCATGCCAATGATAAAGCTTTCAGGTCCAGAATGCTTTATGTGCAGCATGACCATGCAAAGCATCTTAATCTTCAAATAGCAAAAAAAGAGCTCTCCATCTTGAGACAATAGTGTCTGAACAAGGAACAGACACAGAAAACAGTACATGGCACTTGTTTCCTTGAGCTTACGGAGCACTTCCTTAGTTCTGCTGCTGAACACTTCCAGCCCTTTCAGAGGAAGAGCCTCTCCCTCTCAGAGTAAGGAACTCAGACCTCCTCAACAGAGTAAAAAATGTCTTCACTCATTTTGAAGTTGTATTTATTTTAGGAATATCTTGTTAGACAACATTCAGTATATCTTACACGTATTGAAAAATAGCCACAAATTTTGTCTTGAGGCATTTACAATGGTCACAAAATATTCACTGAGGCTCTTTGAGAGGTCTAGTTATAAAGGAGTTCAATTTCAAATAATATGAATTATTCAGTCACAAAATGAATAGTTCCTTTCATTGTGCCAAAGACACCTAAGTGACACTGACATACTTAGGAATACACGTGCTCTTCCTTCTTTCAGGAAACGGTCTTTAAAGGACTTCACCTTTCCAGAGTATGTCACACCAAGGAAATAGCTGGAACAGGCTTAACTTGCTTCCCTCAACAAGACAAAATAGTGTAAGCTGGCTTTATGGCATGTCTCTTGAAGGACAAGGTTTGTAACTACAAAAATGAAAAAGAGGGATTGAATATATACTTACATTTAATATATCTCAAAGCAATTAACATGCAAATTCCTACTCTTGGTTTTGGCCTTCTAATATGATTGTATCAGGTGTCAATCTGACTTCCAGGGCACTACCCAAAGGAGAAGGTGAGTGAAGAAACTGTGCTCTGCAGCAAATGGGATAACTATTCCAGGGGAAA